TTTTATTAGTAATATTTACTTTTTCGTATTTGTATTTGACAACTTATTATTTATATGTTATTAAATTAGATTACGTTAATTTGTAAAAGTTAAGATTGAACTTAGTATTTGTATCTACTTTTTGTTATTAATATTAGTATCTACTTTCAGGTATATTTATGTAGTATTATTTTAAATGTTAAAAAATTTAATTATAGTACGGAACCGAACGGAACCGAACGGAACCGAAATGAAACCGAAACCGAACGGTTCCAAAATTATATTTGGAACCGACGGTTCCATTTACTAAATACCCGAAAATTTCTGAAACTGAAAAAAACCGAACCGAACCGACCCGACCCGCGCCCACCCCTAATTGAATGAAAAGATTATTAAAAGCATGATCAACCACCAGTTAGAGTAACTGTAAGCTAAAATTTAGATTGGACAAACTATAATTTGGTAATGAAAAAGGGGCCAGCAGTGCAATATTATTATGCAAATACCGTCCATGTATAATATAAATCTTAGATAATCCGATCATAAGGAAATCTGTAGCGCCCCTAACTTCTATAGCTTTAAAATCTTTTATCTGCTTCCGTTAGATATGAATCATATGATATACTTTTCACAAGAAATGAAATTTTATTGATCAAAGAACTATATTGACAATTCATGAAAGATACATATCCTCTATCCATTAGACTAGAAATCAAGAATGCATTTTGTTTTCAACTGAAATCAGTTAGAGAAACAAGGACACCCTTAAATCCCATAGATGCAGACCATGTTCCCATAACTAACTAACTAACTTTATCTTACGCTTCCAAAACTCTGCATTTTATCTCCGTCCATATTACCCAAAGAATGTTTGACACTACTGCTTCCCATGTCACAAACCTTTCTTAAACCAAATCCATTTGGCTTTTCAAGGAATAAATGCTGCATCTTCCTGGAAGCACCCAAGCTAATCTGCTTCCTGTAATACTTTAATCCGTAGATTCCTTGCAACGATGATTAATACGTTGTGATTCTTTTCTACACATTACACTACAAAGGAGAAATAAAAATTTTGCACACTAACCAAATCACAAGTATGAACCTTCCTTTTATTTTTATATAACAGTCAACAAAACATTCTATGTCCCATTTAGAGACACGTTAATACTCGATTTTTTCAGAAAAGTAGAGGACGACATGTTGGGGACACATTTATTATGATAATATAAAAATATTTTTTATTTTAATTTTATACTGCAAAACATACAGAATGTTGTGTAGTTTTTTTTTTTTTGATAACCGTGGATGTTCAGGCCAGCTTGCGCGCACCTCGACTAATTCCACGAGGCCCTGAAGTTTACGGTCGGATACTCACCTAAGTGGCCCCGAGGGAACTCAAACTGATGACCATTGAAGAGCAAACCCAAGGTCTGACCAATTGAGCAACCCCTCAAGGTTAGAATGTTGTGTAGTTGTTGAAGCAAAAGAGAGTTCCATGTAGGATATACTGGTGTTTTTCAATTTTGTAATTGCCTTAGTAGACATTTTTATCGTAAATTTTTGTAAAGTGCTTCTGCTTTTGAATAAAACAAACAGACACCTAATTTCGTTAATGTTAAAAGCTTATAAGTTATGACTCAATTTTGGTTCATTTAATCAAAAACATAACTCTGATCTTTAAGTTAAATAGGTGTTTGCCAAGTTAATAAAAACAGTGCATTTTGATTGCTGAACAAAGATGGGGTTTTTCCTGCATTCATTCTTTTCACTGCACCGTCACACTCAGAGCTCCACCGCACCGTACGACATTGCTAGTGACTCCACCTACAGCGACGCCTTCCTCTTCAACCTTCACCATCATCTCGACCCATCACCGCGTGACTCTTCTATCATAGATCAATAAAGACGAAGCACCAGCTAGTTTCTCCTTTTCATTTATTTCAGAAAAATACAGTATGTCAATGACGTGTCCAACTATAAAAAACCAGAAAAGGGGGGTGACCTGCACATCCAACACGTGTCAGTGACATGTTTGTGTCCAATGTGTCAGACGCTGACACACAAGCATCGTAGCCGTGTCATTGCTTCCTATCCCATTTTATGAATGGGATAAATGATGAATTTACCTCAGCTATAAATTTCCATGGATTACTAAATAAGCATCTTACGTTCTCTCGCAATTCCATTCATTTAGGTCCATAATATTAGCTCCTCCGAACCTTTCCTACCAAGAACATTGCTACCATGTAATCTCCAAATTCATTGTCCCATCGAGTACTTACGTTAGAAACAAAGTTACAGGGAACAATTTCTCCTTTTCTCTAAATATCATCCTATCTACTAGACACCTTCAGCCTTCATATGAACTTCTCGTCCCTTTTTCAACCTCACAAGTTATTGTGATGGCCAAGTACTTCCCACCAAGAATTTGAGAGCCGAGTAATGAGGTTCTTTACAAAGTTAAATGTGAACAATTCAAAATCCTCTTTTGATGGCCAAAGCCCATTTCAAGGAGAATGAAAACCAAAATTAGCTTTATCGTGAGGTTCAAGTCCCTCTATGACCCCAAAACCTTTTGTCATCAGTTTCAGCACCAAGTTGAAAAAGGGCTGACGCCCAGCAAGCACCATCTTTCTAAATTTTCAATCCTTATTATCTTGGAGTTCTTCATATTACAATTAATCTTGTAATAGATCTCTTTTTTGGGGAAAAAAAAATCTATTTCAAGCATTAAGGGGGCCCACCTAAGTATAATTTAAAACATTGCTATTTATACAACTCTACATGGAAAAAAAATCCTAAACTTTCCAAAAAGGGACTGGGTCATTCTAACCCAACTACATCTCATGTTAGTGCTACACTCCATGGAATTGATATTTCATACTGAGGATCTTCTTATGGCAAACTCAAATGTTTCTAAAATAGCAGAGCAGTCGGAAACTTTATTCTAGTAATATTATCTTTGGAGAGTGGCTATAACAATAATTTGATGCAGTGTCTGGGAAACTTCAATTATTTTTTCATCTATGGAAATCATCACATTTTTGGCATTCTGTTCATTTAAGAATAGATAAGCTGTAAAAAAAGAGATCAGGATACATGGAGGACTCACCACATGAGGCCAAGTCAAAACATTTTCTCCACTGATTGTCTCAACCGAAGGCTCTTCAAAAGCACACTGTTTCGCTAATGGCAGCATGGCAGACACTGCATATAACAACAAACCCCCAACCTTAGCAATCTAAAGGGAAAAAATCCATGAAAAATCAGCTGATAATTAAACGAGCAAAGGCAACATTTAAGTGTAATATATATATATATTTCTGGACTAACTTTGACATGAAAGTAAGCAAGGAAAAACAATAACTCAGAATTTAGGTTGAATTTATTATTGAGAGTTAAATACTCACTACAGTCAATCCTATATATAGGAGAATAGTACTGTCTTTATGCCCCTATTTGGTTTTGCTAAAAATCAGATTTTTAGTAAATTTTAGTAAAAATTGATGAAATGTGTGGTTAAAATAAATTTTTGATTTAACTTAGATTTTTATCAATTTTTTTAGTTAAATATTTCCAACTATTATCTTTCCATTGCAACTCTCCCCCCTCAAGTTGGTGCATCAGTATCGAATATGCCCAACTTGGACGGTGATATATAGAAGGTAGAATGGCCTTACTTGAAAACGGACTCTAATTGCAACTCCAACTTCAAGTAGTAAAGACCTCCCCCTGTTTACTAGTTCCAATCATCCTCTTGGTTAAATTGGCCTAGATGAGGGGTAAAGTAGAAAGACTAATCAAACTAGACCTCGACCTTTTTATTAATTTCTGGAAGAGATTTTAAATTTCGTTTGATTCTTTGATGATTTGGCAAATTAAAAGTCTCTCCATGCTCACAAGACTCTTCATAGCCACAAATGCGTTTCCACCTATGGTGTCTACTCTAATGCACAGTGATTATAAATCATCCTAATTGTATCATAATTAAATTTTATTTTTTTGATTATAAAGCATATCTGGGACAAAATTGAAGCAGCTTCTACAGAACAGGGAATTGATTAACTTTACAATAAAACTACAGGGAAAAAGGGGGAGAGGAAAAGGAGAGAGAAAATCCAGCACAAGAGAGTAAGTATGTCCTGGTTGATCCTGCCCATAGATGCTCCTCCGGAGAGCAATTCAACAACTTTTAAACAAACATGGTGCATCGTGTCATTCACATTCTAGGAAGCAGCTATATCTGCTTCAGACCATAACTACTCCTGTTTAACTCTCACGGAGATAAGTGTGATGTTTCTTTACCACAATTTCCACTCAACCTCCCTAACATCCGGTTCCTTTTGATTTTCTCCTTGTCACTCTTCACTGCTACATTTTTGTGCATTCCAATCCCGAAATAGCCATAATCCAATAAATAATATATAATTTCTCCCAGAAACCATAGTGTACACAGCAGCATAGCTCCAACAACCCAACATCAAGTCCTAGTCTAGAATGGGAAAGTATTTCATGAACTAACATATCTGATGAGAACTGTTGGAGAACATAGCAAAACAGTATCATATAAAGAGATACAACTTGGTAACCTTAAGGATTCCTTTTGAACAAGTCTTTAACCAGAAAAAATTATCTGCTAAAATTGAAAACTTAAACAACTATGCATACATCAATCCACATTGATGATGTTTAATCAGGTCCCAAAGCAAGGCCAGTGAAACTCTAAGCATAATTCTGTGTTTCCTAGCAGCAGTACTACGTGCTTCTTGGAAAAAATAACATTTTTTTCAAAATACAAAAGATAAAAAAAACTTGTGCTAGACATCTAGTATATAGTTATTGAAAATATTGATAACGACATAAATCTAAACAAATATACTCACTATCAATTCCATATACATTGCGCCAGAAGTCGACGCTTTCACTATATCGGTCTGGATGGGTGACAGGCGCCATGTACAGCTGCAAAGGTAGAGAATAAAACAGCATTATGCCCAATGATTGGGCCCTACAATATGCCAAGGCTAGTATTAGGATGATATGGACCAGAAACTAAAGCAATCATTATATTCACATTATGACAATAGCACTAAACACTATGTTTGTTTCCAATAGACCAATTTCTATTATTATTGTTCACAGATTGGTCTACAAGCAATTATGTACAAGCTGAAGCAAAAATTTAAAAGACCAAAGATTATGTCCAACTATTACTGCATCAGCAATATAAAATTGACATTAGCTCCTAAAATATGTTGGAGCATGCTGCCACTGTTGCTTGACAATTCACATACACGAAATAAGTGAGAAGAAGAGCTATCAATACCGTAGCAGTTGAAGGAAGAATAAGACCCCCAGGTTTCAACCAACGTTCTCGGGCGGTAATGACACTCCCCAGCATACTCTAACATGGATGAGCAAGTTCCATGTCAGAGAAGATACACTTAAAAAGAGGAAAACTGGAACCTCCAGACAGACATACAATTCAGTGTATAGTTCAGAAGTGCATTACCTACATTTGTATAGACAAGCAAACATAGATTTATAAATGCAAGCAAGATACTAGTCATCACCTCATAGAGAAGCATGTAACCCATCCATTCTGAAACTATAACATCAACTTCTTCATCAATTTCAACATCCTGCAATAACCAGATTGTGATTTTCTACGTTTATCCTAAATTTATAAGCAGCAGACAAATTATTCAAGAACTCGTGTAAGTTCAAAACAAAACCAGAAACGAACAAATTATAGCCATCCCTTCTGTCAAACATGCAACTTCAAAAACAAAATGCGTAACATTTTTAGTACTAGACAACAAAGAACAATAATTTGTTAGAAGAAAATACAAAGCAGTTTTTCCACAAGGAATCTAGGTCACTTGTACACCATACATTTCTTTGAAGACATTTAGATGCTATTTGTATGTACCAACAACCTCTTATTGCTTCAACTCATTTAGTTCTTCACAAATACCAACAACAGACTCTTATAACAAATTATTTCTTCCGTTTCCTTTTTCTTTTACATTGAATAAAACATTTTGATATACATACTTTGCCATCTGTTTACATTTTTTAAAGTAAAAAAAAGAAGTATATTATAAAACTAATATAATTATAGAAATTTAAAATGTAAAGAAAGTGGATAGTAACAGAAAGTAATTTTTTTTACCGAAGTAACTTCAACTCTTCTTTCTTTCGCCTCTAAAAGTAATCTCTCTCGAAACAGGAGTAAAAATTCATCGAGAATACCTCGGCAGGACCATAAAATAAGACTCTATCAGGTTATAATAAGGTGATGCGTGAGACCTACATGAGTAATGCCTCAAGAATGAACTGATTCCCATAGTTCTTCAACTCTAGCTTGAATTCTTTGTTAGGTCTATTGACTGCGTGAGCCTTATTATCTAACTCAGGCAAGCCCAATTATTTGTACATTTGCAATATAGTTTTCCATAATAGTTTTTGTTATTACTCATTTAAGTAACAAGAAATAAGAACTTCTTTCAGAGAACCAACAATAGGTCAAGCTTCTAACAAACTTTCTCAAGATGCCATCAGTTTAGTTAGTTATCTTCTGTTCTTTATATTATATTTTCAACTATCCACAATATATAACCCAACAAAACTGAATAGCCTGGCACAATTCAAGGAGAAATTTCAAAGGGTACTTTTACTCTCAAAGGTAAGGCATGTTCTGATTCATTTATCCCCAAAATAAAAAACGAAGAAGCAAACGCTTTCCTTCCATTTTTTCTAGCAACAGAAAAAGCACCTTGGGGTTATTTGAGGCTGGTCTTTCATGGCTGGAACTAGTGTTAGTGGTGCTCTGACACAACAGACGAGTACAGAATTCAATTTTCCTCAATGCTTGTGTCTAATTTAATGCTCACGTGACATACACTACCATCTCTGCACTTATTAGTTGGTATATTACGAACTGAACTCGATGGAGATCAAAATAGAGATGGATTTTAAAGTAAAGTTTGATTTAAAATATATTTATTTAGATTAGATTAGTTATCATATTTCGATAATATTCTAGTTTATTAGAAGTTTGTTTAGTTTCTTGTTAATTCTTACTCTATCAATAGAGGGCTTATTCAACGTAATTCGTAACCCTTAATTATATGAATAAATTGATATCTTCTTTTGCCCTCTATTGCTCTCTTCCTTGTACCACTCTCTCTTCTTAATCTTCTTGTTCGTTAACAAATTATACGCTCATGCGTCAATTTGATATCAAAGTAATTCGTTCTCCTTTGACCTACACTTTCTCAAATCCAAAAATTCATCAACCATTTCCATCCATTCCATATACACACCGTTGCCTTCCATCGCCCCAAAACTCTAAACCACCTTTATGCACAAAAACCTCAGAACAACACAAAAACAAGAAGAATTCATACCAATAGCAATCAAGGGCACAATTTTTTCCTCCTTTTAGTTGAAAAAAAGTTTTAAAAAAATAAAATACCAGCAATTTGTTCTACTAATAGTTGTTTTTTAGCCTGTGTTTGAGCCACATTCTTTAAAAATTTATTTTCAATTACATATCCTCCCAATAAAAAATTTTACACGTAAACCTAGAAGTTTTCTTTACTTTTTAACCACATTCTCCAAATAAAAAAAAAAAGAAAAAATCAATATCACAAAATCTATTCTCCAAAAATTAAGGCTTAAACAAACCCTTGGTTCCAGTTTAAAAATAAAAAAAAAGTTTACGTCTGTTCGCTTGTCATCAATTGACTAGTATAGGTATTTGATTCATAAGAAAGTCACCCCAGTAGCATGAGCTAAGATATATGTTGATGTCAAGAGTTCAATACCTACATTTGGTCAAGACAAAAGAATGGCCTCCTTGGAATAAAAAGTTTCAGTCTAACTCGTCGGAGTCGAGTTCTCCCACTCGGAAAAAAATGATGGAGATCAAGATACATATAAAGAATAAAGATAAAGATAGATCTTAGTTATGATTTTAAAGTAGAATTTGATTTAAAATATATTTATTTAGATTAGATTAGTTATCATATTTCGATAAAATTCTAGTTTATTAGAAGTTCGTTTGATTTTAGTTTCTTGCTTCATAAATAGACAATATAATTCTAACCCTTGATTTTATGAATAAATTGATATCTTATTTTGCCATCAAATCTTCTCTTCTTTGCTCCACTTTCTTTTCTTAATCTTCTTGTTCGTTAACAAATTATACGCTCCTGCATCAGAACTATTTGACTAAATTGTTAAAACTATTACATCTGACAAATAAAAAAATCAGGCAGTGGGCTGAAACTGACCACAGCCTAACATAGCAGATTTTGTTTCCTTTTTAAATAACATTAAACAACATGAAAAAAATGAAATCACGAATGCACAAGAAATAACAGGTGTCAACATGTTTAGAGAAGAGGTTTACCTCAACACGCCCATGCAAAACAATGACTGTATCGGATAAGTTGTTTGCCTTTACAACTTCATTTGCCTGACATAACATTTCAAAAGAAAAGCATCTATTAGACTACTTATAATTAGAATTTTCAAGTATGGTAAAACATTAAAAATGTAACAGTTTTTTTTTTTCTCAAAAAATTGGAGAGGAAATAGAGAGGTATCATAAGAAACTTCTATCAGATTCTTCAATTCCATTTAGAGAAGACCAAGATCCATATATTCAAAGGAGCAATCTTCTGTCTCGTGCCAAAAGGTTTAGACTGAGTGACTCCTATTTTTTCTAAGAGTGATTTCTAGGATTTGTTGCTATATGAATCTAATACAATATCAGCTCTAATGAGCCTCTGGTCTACAAATTTTTTTTTTTTAAAGGTAATCAAATATTTTATTAACCAATGCATAATACACAGGAAGTGTACTATCAAGTTAAATCGGAAAGTAACAACATGAAATGAGGCAGCTCATCTATATGCTTAGTAGCCGCAGCATTAAATCAAGTATACAATGTAAAATAAAACAATTCCCGGATCTGATCTATTGTCCGTGATTGGCCTTCAAAACAGCGACTGTTCATTTCCTTCCACACACACCATACGATACAGCCCGGAATAAGGTCCCACACAAGTTTATTATCTTTATCCCGAAACTTTCTCCTCCATGCCTATAACATGTCCTCCATACGCTTCGGTAACACCCAATTCATGTGCTGCGACACCAGAATGTCGTTCCACAGTAAACGAGCAACATCACAATGAAGAAATAAGTGATCACTCGTCTCCTCATCCCTCTTACACATATAGCACCACTCTGTAACATAAAAACCCCTTATACGGAGGTTATCCACCGTTAACACCTATCCTCTAACCACCGTCCATAGTAAAAATGTCACGCGTGGGGACAGTTTACACTTCCATACCATCTTCCAGGGGAATGAACTCTCTACAAAACCCAATAAGGATCTAAAATAAGTGCGAACTGAAAAAATATCATCTCGTGTCAACCTCCATCCACTACAATCGCCTTCTCCTGCCTTGATATGTACCTCGTATAAAGATGTCAAAAGCAACCCATAATCATCCAACTCCCAGTCCTGCAAACCCCGACCAAAAACAATGTTCCAACTAGAGCTCCCATTATGGATATCTAAGACATCATTCACCATGGCATACGGCTCCAGTGCAATCAGATACAAAGAAGGAAATCTCACCTTAAGCGATTGATCTCCACACCAACAGTC